AATATGTTATGGAGAAAAATAAACTAAACAACATTTGCCTGGGCATTGTATCCAAATTCTTCACCAAATTTGAATTAAAAATCAAATACAGAAAATAAACACTGTGATAAAAATAAGAAAAAATAACAAGAGAATTAAAATGAGTTAGTGTGCCAGCACCTTTTCGACACCGCAATCTTTGCCGATTTTTAATTATTGTTTGGCATTGACAAATGCCCTGAAAATGTACCGATATGTAGTTTACATAATCAATAACACATAAAAAAAAAATCAAAACATAATAAATTTTTTTAGGCCCTGAAATAAAATGAAAACAAAAAGTGAAAAGTGAAAAAAAAACAAAATAGTGAGTGGGCGAGCACGTTTTGACACCCCCATCTTTGACGATTTGTAATGTTTTGTTGGCTTAGCAGAATGGCTTCAAAATTTATAGCCGTGTAGGCTACATCATAGAGAACCCACAAAAACAAATTCAGAAAAAAAAACTTATTTTTAGGCCTCGAAATATGTTTTGGCAGGGGCCGAACCTGGAGGTGTTTGGCCCCCGAACGGGACCCCAAACGCCCGAACGTTCGGGGGCCAGCCCGGGGGCCCCCGAACGTTCGGTCTGGGTTGTTGGTTCAGCAAAGTGGAACCCTGGTTTACGTGTACTTTATTTACGTGTCATTGTATGACTGTGTGCGAAGTTCATTGTATGCTCCACACTTGAGTGTATCACATCTGTGTATGTTAACTCACATTACCTCTCCATATTACCGTACTACCGCATACGTGAACTTGCCTGGGGAAGCTTACCGGGTTAGAGTGAGCGTAGTGAACCTCAGTCTGGTGATGTACTTACGTTACTGGTCACGAAGACGAAGTGATTGAAGCAGAGGAACCTGCAGGAGTGGACGAGGCTGTTGTCTACAGATGCAACGGGTGGACGGCGAGTACCAAGCAGGCGAAAGTTGCCCTTTGCTATAACTGGTAAGAATCTGGGAAGAGATGGCGAGTTTCGACAGACAAGAAGGTCGAGATCGAGGATCGGACCGACGGGAAGATGGCGGCAGAGAACCGGATCGAAGGGAGGAGAAGGAGTGGCGTCCTTACCAAAAGCCGGTGGTATGCTACAACTGTGACGAGTCGGGGCACTATGCTAACCAGTGGCCCAACCGAGACTGGCGATAGGCAATATTCACCAAGACGATCCGACCCTCGACGCGCTTATTCACCACAGAGGAAGGATCGTGAGCTGCGGGATAAGGTGGTGGAACTATCGAAAGGAGTAGCGTCGATCAAGGAGCATTTCGACGCCATACAAGCGAAGAAAGTCGCCGAGAAAGCTAGATGCAAGTCGGAGCGAGAGAAAAAGCAGGAGGAAGAGCTACGCAGACAAGAGGAGGAAGAAGCGAGAAGAGCTCAAGAAGAATTACGACGAGCGGAGAAGAAACGCAAGAGGGAGGAAAAAGCAAAACGGGAAGCTAATTTGCGCGCAGAAATGAAGAAAGATGTTACGATGCATGCAGCGCTTTTGATGAGCGAAATTAAAGACGATTGGATCAATCAATGGAAGACAGAAGTTCTATCGACACTGGCAGTTGGGTTGGGTGACGTGAAAGGCCAGAAGAAGGTGGCGTGTAACTCCGAAAGTGACCACTACTCCGAGGAAAGCGGCGAGGATAGTGACACAAGTGTGACTCAAGACCTGAGCGTGAAGGCCAGCAAACTTTGTATTACGGAGAAGCGTAAACGAGAGGACGACGTGGTTTTGGAGAATAGTCCTCCTATGGAGTTTCCATCGAAGAGAACCCCACAACGAGTGGCGGGAAGAATGCAGAAGGAGAACCTGCGTCTGACTCGAGCACGAGCGAAGAAGATGCGTACTCCGATCTCATCCAAGAGGAAGACCCCGATGAAAACTCCGTTGTCGAAGTTAACGAAGTTTGCCAGAAAGAAGTCACCTCCAAGTGGAAGAATGACTCTGGCAAGTCGTATCCTTGCCCGACTGCGCTATTGGGATTCAATCATGCACGAATTAAAAGACTGCAACGCCGATGAATTGCAACGATTTTGCAAGGAGGAAGGGATTCCCTATGTAGGGAAAGTTGACACGATCTTTGATTTGGCGGAACATCGGGCACAACAGTACGCTACTGTTCCTCCACAGGCCGAAGTAATACGTATCGCGGATTCTACGGATGTATGCACCAGTGACTCAGGCGAAACTAAGGAGTGATGTGGGATTCCCACAGCTGCTTGGATCGATCTTTGAAGATACCTTACTAGCTTACGATGCTCCCAGGTATGTACAGATGGACGAGTGGAGTCTCTTGTGTGTTTGGTAGTACTCCTCTTGTTGTTGACGAAGGTCGTAGATACGAGGAGTCATGGCTGAAACTATACTCCATTCACGGCATTGATTTTGTACGACTTACCGGCGTTGTGTATGTCGCGGTGTCCCCTTATTGTAAACTGTGCTATGTGGGAAAGACTTCTCGGTCCTGCGATATCAGATGGCGCGAACATCTATATGCTGTTCGTAGACGAACCCATTCACACTTCCACCGTTGGATTTCGTCCTTTGGTATTGGGAATTATGTACTGCTCTCTCTCGACACTTTTGAGGGTAAAGATTTGAGCACTTTGGAAGGCTTGTACATTAGTAGATGGTCTCCGTTTCTCAACACAGTAGGGTCGAAGAAGAAGTTGGGTAAGTCGGGTAAGAAACAACCCGTCAGAAGGGAAAGATGTAGCGCTCGAGGGAAGCGAGTGATCGATGCTGCTGTTAGAGTCAACCCGGTGCGATTTCACTTGGAAGATAAGGGTTTGGACTTTATCGATTTGTATGCCTTCCTGAAAGATGTTTTGAGTACGGGGGATCAAAGCGTAGTTCTATCCTTGGGTGGGAAGGATTGGTCTCCGAATTGGAAGAAATTGTCTCGAATGTTTTGTGAGACTAAGGTCAAGTTTTCTTCGATATGTCGACCTTTGAGAGACTGCAAGAATATTTTGGAGCAGGGTGGAGTTTTCGAAATTGTGCATGTCGTGAAATGGAAGGCGGAAAGTAAATTTCTGAAGCTTTTCTTGATTGGCATCCTACGTAACCCGAATAAGCTGCAGGAACTGTACAACTGGGGTATGAGAGCGTTACTAAGGATCTACAGGGTAATTAAGGATTTCTCAAGGACGTCCACAAGAAAGTATCTGCGAAGATTAGTTTCACGATGTTTTTTATACTGTTTTGATTTGAGTCTTTCCTGCGATTTGACATTTCGTATCAAATTTGACGACCGGGTGGTTATCTCATAAGTTAGGAAAGTGGTTAACGATATGCTGATGACCTGTGACTTACCTTTGTGTTTCCTGCATCGTGCACGCCGAAAGATTCGCATCGTTGGGACGAAGAATCCCACAGTAACTGATATTCTGCACAACCATCGAGTAGCATCTACTCAAGATGTGCTTACCTGTAATTGCTAAGGTATGATGTTTCCGCGCGTGAATGGGCATGTGCTATTTCGTCTGAGTGAGGTAGCTACAGTGCACCCGCTTTTGATGAACTCGAACAATATCCCGAAGGTTCGGGTAACTGACAGGTTACAGCTTCTTCAAGATGAGTTAGTTGCTGGTTTCAAGGACTGGAGGAACGCAAGGAATTGTAATCCCATCTGTTTATCAGATCTGACATCTTGTATCTCCAGCGGTGGCGAGTTTTCTCCCTGTGTATCTGTGTCTGACGTGCAGGCTTTGAAAGTACGTCTAGACGGGCTAGTGGTTGGCCCAGTCGATAGGAACTCAGGTGAATCAGTAGCTATATGTGTCGGCACCTATTTCGAAGCAATGATACAAACGTTTGTGTATAATCCCGGTTATCAGATAGTTAGATACGGCGATAAACAAGCTTTGAGAGAAGTGAGGGAGGATGCGCGGCGTCTGGAATTGAGCAAAGTTGTGCATTGGGAGGGCTTTGGTACCTTTGGTGCAGCGTATGTTATCCCCAAGCAGAAGGATTTGAGTCGTTTTTGACCAATTTGTCCTTCTTTCAAAGAGCCCATGGTACGAACTGCTCGCCTGATGAGTCGAGCCATGAATCACGTGTTGTACAGTTTGCCAAGAAGTTGGCATTTCAACATACGATCTGTGTCAGATCTCACGAAACGGTTGGATATCCTGAATCGGAAGCTGAACAGGCTACATGGAGTTCGGGTAGTTAGCTCGTATTCCTTTGATGTTAAGGAGATGTTCAGCAAGTTGCCTCATTCGGTCTTGCTGAACTCCATTGACTGGATCATCGATTATTTCCTGAAGAAAGGCTGCGATTTCATTTGAGTTAACACTCGCGGCAGAGGCTCATCCTTCGGTGTGACTACCGGAGCTGACCACTGGAAACGTCTATCCTTGTCGGATATCAGAAAGTTTGTTCGATTGGAACTCGATTATACGTACTGTTTTGCGACAGAAATTTTGTTGAAACAAGTAATCGGGGTTCCCATGGGAAAGAGCATGAGTCCCCCGATTGCATGCATTATGTGTCCCTACTCAGAATACCAAATGATTTGTACTCTGGGTACGACCAACAGATGTTTTGGCGCTTTGAGGCTGATTGATGACGTTCTCTTGGTCGTTTCTAGCAGATGTGAGAGGAAGAGGCGGTTGATCCTTGACGCAATGAACAATTGCTACCCTAAGAACTTATCATTAAAGAGGACAGACGACGGATTAGGAAGCTTGGAGTTTTTAGGATGTTCGATCAGGACTAACAAAAATTTTCCATTCGTGGGGAGTATCCAACTATCTCGTAACGAATCAAGGATTTGGTCAAACGACCAACTGTTGATACAGAATGGGCAGTCATTTTATTCCTGGGGGAATAAGAAGCAGAAAAGCGCGGTGATCTGTAGTCATTTACACCGCATTGATCAAAATACGTCAATCCGCTCGGAGATTCCGGGTAAGGTCCTGGGTCTCCAACAGGAGCTACGAAAGAAGGATTTCCCGTTGCGTTTCATCAACCGAGTGTTTCGAAGGTTTGGCAGTCGTCGTGACGCGTTATGGCGTAGAATCATGGAGTCCGTCTGTGGGGAAGGTTGAGTATGCCGAATTTGAACAGGGCTCTAACATGGCCAGGAGTCTTAGGAGTGGGTTATGTTTACCTGAGCCGGATACGAACAAGGGCTGACAGGTTTGCCATTTGTTTCCTTTGAACTATGGTCTTTAATTTCGCTTTCCGTATCGCAGTTTTTGCTCGTATCTTGTTTGGTTTGGTTTTGAGGCTATAGGAAGTAGGATTTGAACTGTGGACGTTTGTTTCACATTCGGGACTACTGCTTTGGCTGTGTTTTTGGGTTTTTGGTTTTTCTGTTCCTATAGGAGTAGGACTCAATCCGTGGCACCTAGGGAATATCGGGAGGTCTGTAGGCCCATTCTTGGGTTCGTTCTGATACACTGTTTTGGGCCGGTTTGAGGTCCCTTTAGTTGTGTTGGACCAGTTCCAGGGTGGTACGGTAGACTTTGATTTTTTTAGTAGGCGTAATCAGTGTTGCGTTAAGGGTCAGACCCTCTCGACTCTTAGAGGAAGCCTGACCGGGAAGTTTTGGCACGTAGGTGCTATATATACGTAGCAATCATCATGTTTGACCTCTTGGGTTTTCTGGTGTGACATGCGTTTGTGACGACGGGCAACCGTCACCCTGGCGAGTATGTGGTACGAAGGCGGATTTCTAGGTTGTTGGTTCAACAAAGTGGAACCCTGGTATAAGTGTACTTTGTCTATGTGTCATTGTATGACTGTGTGCGAACTTCACTGTGTGCTCCACACTTGAGTGTATCACATTTGTGTATGTTAACTCACATTACCTCTCCATATTACCTTATTACCTTCAAACTTTATAGGCGTGTAGTTTACATCATAGAGAACTCACAAAAAAACATTCAGAAAAAAAAAAACTTATTTTTAGGCCCCGAAACAATTTTTGGCGGGGGCCGAACATGGAGGTGTTCGGCCCTCGAACGGGACCCCAAACGCCCGAACGTTCAGGGGCCAGCCCGAGGGCCTCCGAACGTTCGGTCAGGTAACCCTATATACATATATATAAACATATATGGCGTTGTAGGGTTTGAAAAACCCTACAACCCTAATTTCTTTTTTTTTTCAATGTTCTTTTTTTTTCAAATAGAAAATGTTCAAAGCGGAATATAGCAGCGGGGACATAATGAAAGTGGGGAAAAGTTATAAAACGTGCTGGGGACGAAATATTTTTTTTTTTCAAATAGACTAGGAAAACGACATTGGAGTTGCACCGACTCATTAAGAGTTTGAACCCTCGACAATCCAACAGAAAAATTCCCATTAGAAATGAAAGTTGATAAAACATTCTAAAAAAAAAAAAAAAAAGTTCGTTATATTTGTAAAATTGTAAAGTATCATTTTAATGTTTGTCCAATTATAAAATTTACAGCTTTATTTGATAAGTTTTCGTCTAAATATGAGTTTTCCCTTCCAACTACATCATTTTGTTCAAGATGGAATGGAAGTCTGGACGAGTTTGTGAAATGTCTTAATTAAACTTTCATTTTACTACATCAAATATCTTCTAATTTATATTGGATTAACCTATTTATGACTGAAAATTCTTAGCTAGAATGACAGTCCAATTCAAATATTTCATAAACTCGTACAGATTTTCATTCCATTTCTAGCATGTAGTTCAAATAAGAAGGGATACCCCATTCTTGGAATAAAAGTTTTCAAGTAAAACGAAAAATTTTAAATTTGGTATTATATTTTTTAAGATGAAATAAAAATTTGAAATTTAGAATGTAACTTTACTGTAGAGTGATTTTTGAATTCTGGAAAAATTTTCTATTGTATGCGGTGTCGAGCGCATCGACCCTCTCGTGAACGAGGGCCCTCCCGACCACGTCACGCAGGAGTAAAGCAAAAACAATGTCATTAAGAGACAACTCGGGAACAACGCATAAATAATCCCGTGAGCCGCCGTGAGCCGCCGAGACGGCGCACTGTCGCATCGTCCCTCGCCGCTATGGCCGATTGCGCCAGCAATACAACCCGCGGTCCCCTACGACAGGATAGGTTCCCGCGAGGCATAAGCTACCTTCCCTAAGGGGCTGTCACCACCCTTAGGGGCGTATCCCTAGTGAGCTACCGACCCACGTGCGAAAGCTTTTAGATGCAATTGCAGAGGTAGGTCAGGCGAGGGCGTTTGCTCGTTCGCCATAGTATAGATACATTGGTTAACGCCAAGTGGACCCGATCGTCGTTCATTCTTAGGGCGCTGATCTCCTAAGTACGAAGCGGACGCCAATCGACTAGGATGGTCTCAACCAAACATGAAACTACAAAATTAATCCTAGTCCCTTAGACACACAATCAAAAGAAAGTTATAACAAACACACATAACTCCGCCCCCCAAAAAAAAAGAGTCAACCGTAGTCGACAGGAACATGCCCAATCTGAAATGATGACTGAAAGAATCAGAATCATCATATAGTACATCCAACAACACGATATTAAACATAATCCGACCACCCCGGGTCGAATTCCATAAAAACAATCATACAATCGTCAACAAGAAGTTGACTATCGATAATAACTTTAACGCAGCCGACCAGGTAGTCGGACTGCCTTAGTTTTGACCTGATGAGACGCGCTGCCAGAGTTATTCATTCCAACTAACGCGGACCTATGATTAAACACGCATACGCCTGTCTCCATACATTCTCAATCTTCCTGGATGACAGGTTGCTTCGCGGATGATTCTTGATCGGGGGTATTGCTTGACGTGTTGCATGCCTCTTCCTCTAGGAAGTGGTCTGTGGATACCCCTTACCCTCGCCTGAGCCCGAAGACCCAGATCTCAGAGGTTGGGCCGTCACCACCGAGTCGACAAAGTACCACCCCCGACGAGTCGGGTCCACTCCAAGTCGATATCAGGGCCGGCTCCGAAAGCATACGAACCCCCGCCTTGGATGCTTCCTAGAGAAAAGAGAATGCGTTCACCGCAAGTAGTTTTCAATTATTCCCATCCCTTCTCTGTTCATGGTAACTTAGACATGAAGAAATTGAATGAGATAGAGAATGAGAATCACTTTGACAGGTATATATATAGAAGGTCATTCTGGATAAAATGTGTCAATCCTGGGAAAATGCTAAGTCCAATTGACTGCATTCGCTTTTTATTCACACGTTTTCTTTCATGGCACCCGTTGAAACTACTCATTTCAGAATTCAAGTACTATTGTCGTGCAGGCAAGTGAAAGATAAAAACATGACAATCCTTTTCTCCATCCCAAATTGGCAATGTCAATCTCCATAGCAAGCATCCTCCTACCTACCTGCACAACATGCAAAGAAAAMAGGTTCAAAAGAAAACAGTACAATCCCATATTCAAGTTAGACTTTTCCATTCACATGCATGACTCGCACAACTTTCCTCTGTCTTTTCTTTTGAACATTCAAACAACAAGGTCAAACAAAGTGCGGGTTCACACAGCTGTGAAGCGAAATCTGAGTCATTCAGCTGACCTTGAGTGAAGTTTGATCCAGTCCACTCAAGAAAGCCAAGAAATATTCCAGTCAAAGTTGAGAGCACGATCGCCGTTGAGGCTGGAAATATGCAGCTCACAACTGCACAACTCATGGTCGTTCCACTGAACGACGGCCACCTCACTCTCCAAGTGCTCTTATGAGCGAAAGTCGCCTCCACTGAAAGACTCAAGTTAGATAACCCTCCAGGAGGGTGTTTCCAACAATGAGTCCTATGTGGTCCCAACAGTCCCAATTGTACTTCCCCCACCAAAGATACTCACAACCTATTGCAAGTCCACGCCGTCTCCAAGTACCACGTACGCTCACAATAGTCACCCTCATATGTCGGTTCCGATCTTAAAA